TAAATTTTTCAGGAAATTATTGCGATAAACGATAATATTGTCGGCACCGTTTTAAGATCATTTTAGACATAATGATAATATATAATAACAATTCAAGTACATCCTTTCAAACATAACTTTTTATTGAACATTCAACATTGCAAATGAAATGTGAAATAATATTAAAATATATAAATTAATAAATAAAACAAATTAATTCAATTATAATAAATTAATTAAATCACACACAACCAAAACAATAAATTAAATAGAGTCAGGCTGGAAAACAGAGCTCTCTCTCTCATAATAAATAAATATGAGCACACATTATCTCACAAGCAAAAAAANTTCACGGAAACTGTTGTTTTTTAGGTATTTTTTTATAGTAGACACGGTTCGGCATCTCACGGCGATTTTTCGGTGCTGGTTAGTAGCTGTCGGCGCGGCCGATTTCATTGACCTACCGGATGGACGGACCAGTCGGAAAGGTAGACACGGTGTTTGGATCCGACAGCGGCGGGTATTAGCTATTTAACTGAATAGCATGCTATTTATTTTTACCTGAGCTATTGAAAAAGACTCGAGCTATTAACCGGCAAAATGTTAAGGATTTTCTACACTGTCGTAAAATCGGACTCGCGACACCGGACGGTCCGCGGCGACCCGTCGCCACTCCCGCCCGACTGTGTGTCCCGGTCCGCAGTTGCTGTGAGGCCGCACGTCCACGTCGTCGGGAATCGTTCGGTTTTAATTATTTATTACTCGCAGTTCGCCCTTCTGTTGCACACTGAATGAGCGCCCCTTAGAAATTTCACTTTACCTTACCCAATGTATTGCGATTGCTGTGTAGAGCTAAGAGGCACACTGCATCAAAAACCTAAGTTTGGTTTAGTTTGCTCCGCTTGGATGCTGACTTACTCGGGCCCCGCCACATAGCGTAAACCAAATTTTTTTTCCATTCGCTGTTTTCGTCCGGTTATGGTGGGAAAATTGGGTGATTTGTGTTGCGTTGGGGTAAGGCAAAAGGGTCGACCCTCGTTTGTCGCCCGTCGACCTCTACCTTCTTCCGGGGCGGCGGGGCTGTTACGTTTGTACAACCACAGGAACGAGCTTTGTAAATTTTTGTTTGTCAGTTCACCTAATGCGTCAGATGACAGCTCCTGTAGCTACGGAGCTGTCAGTATGGACCTGTTAACTGACAAAAAAGATTTCAAAAGCTCGTTCCTTGTGTTGTACAACCGTAACAGCCCGCCCCCGGAAGAGGTAAGAAAAGGTCGACGGCACACAAACGAGGGTCGACCCTTTTTGCCTTACCCCACCAACACACAAATCCACCAATATTTTACCCACCATAACCGGACGAAAACGAGCGATGGGAAAAAACTTTTGTTACGCTATGTGCCGGGCCCCGACGTAAGTTCAGGCATCCAAGCGGAGCAACTAAACCAAACTAGGTTTTATGACAGTGTGGCCTCTTAGCCTCTCACACAGCAATCGCAAACATTGGTTAAGGTAAAAGTGAAATTTTAGGGACTGCTCAATCTCAGTGTGCACAGAGGGCGGGAACGCGATTATAATAAACCGACGGATCCGACGACGTGGACGGTGCCCCCTCACAGACTGGACCACACACCAGTCCGGTGCGGGGGAGTGTCGCGCGGACCGTCGGTGTCGCGAGGTCCGATTTTACGACCTAGTGTAGAACTCCTTAACTTTGCCCCGGTTAAAATAGCTCGAGTCTTACAATAGCTCAGGTAAAAATAAATAGCAATGCTATTTCAGTTAAAATAGCTAATAGCGGCTGCTCGCCCGGATTCAAACACGTGTGCTAACCTTCCCCGACTGTCCCGTCCGTATCCGGTAGGTGCAATGAAATCGGCCCGCCGGAGTCTACTAACCAGCGGACGGAAAATGCCGTATGCCGAAGGTGTCTACGTATAAAAAAATACCTAAAAAACCAGTTCGTGAAGTCTATAATAACGATAGCGCCTACAATTCTCTAAGGTACCGTTATATTGTTTTTCACATAGAGTTCCGCCAAAGAGTTGATGGATGGGGTGGAAAATTTCATCCTCAAACAGATTTCCCGACTTCGCAGAGCGACCGTAGCGGAGTCCGTCTATTAGGTGGTGCGACTTGTGTTTAGAGTTACTTGTAGACGAATACCAGAGTTTGCAGTCTAACTGAAATATTTTAGCCGACACTACTGTTAGACAAAAGAAAATAAGATACCCACTAAAATAATAAGTATTTATATTTACTACGATACTACCAACAGTAAAGAGATTTGTAAATTTATTCGGCTTCGGGTGGAGAGGAGATGATTGAAATTTACTGCTTCTGTAGTACACTCAATAGATATTTAGGGACTTTATGACACAGGACTGGTGAGAAGTTACACTGGGGTAAAACATTTACGACGAGTGCGATACTGTCTATTTACTGGGGGAACTTATACCAATTACAAACCATAATTGTCCACCGCAAATACCTTTTTGTTTGTAAGTTATTTTTCCGGGTCATCACTACATGTGTTACGGTACGCTCGGTCAAATAAACTATTTGGTACTGTACTGACATATCTTTACGACTAGTAGTTTCAGTCTTCTTCAAGGACGACCGTAAAAACCTTTATAAATTTTCCAATTTCTTTTTAAATTCTTATAAAAGACTGTCAACTGGGATTTCTACTCCTCGTGATAGCTCTTTTATTAGTTGCCTAATTATGTAATAGTCAAATCGAAAGTCGGACTCTTTAATTATGGTATCCGAAAGTGTCCGTACTTCGCTCAACAAGACAAATTTCCGGAGTTGGCACTAACACGATTTAGGTGGAAAAAGTACAGAGAAGATGTAAGTTGTACACAAAAGGGGAGAGAAAGTAACAGAGGAGATGTAGTTTGTACACAGGGAGAAGAAGTACGAGAAGTGTAGTTGTACACAGGCGCGAAGAAGAAAGTACAGAGAGAGATGTTAGTGTACGACAGGTTGCTATCGGGATGTTAAGAGCATTCCATGGAATATAACAAAAAGTGTATCTCAAGCCGGTTTCTCAAACTTACCTACCCCACCTTTAAAGTAGGAGTTTGTCAAAGGCTTGAAGGTCTCGCTGTGCATCGCCTCAGACAGCTAATCCACCACCGCTGACACACAAATCTCAATGAACATCTGTTATGTTCAAACGTCAGATTGACTTAGTAAAATCGTGTGACAAATCTGTTTCATTTTATTCATGGGTGATTTTATATTCATAAATATAAATGATGTATGATGTTGTCATTCTAAAACATTAAATAAGCGAAAGCACCTCTTCCTCTACTAACTTTAAAATGAAGACATCATGTGAGTTATCATAAATCCACTGAATAACTTGTCCTAACACTCTTCAATGTGCATTTTGTAAAATGTGTCACGCTATGACAGATAAATGACCCCCTTGAATATGTTAATGTTTGGTATAACATGTGGCGTTATGGAAAACAACATTCAATAAAAAGGCAGTAGTGATGTACACATTGCATGCGAGCAGTTTATTATAAAATGACATACTGTATAGATGGGATCATAAAAGTCAGAAGAAGTGCCTGTGGCATTTTGAAATATTTAAAAGTTAAAGAAAATTGAGAATATTTTCTGACATGTTGTACCCTAAAGAGTGAAGAGAATAATCGAGAAAAATAATCAACGGATTAATAATTAATCAGTTAGCTTCAGCCCTGAGAAATAATACCATAGGTTTCACAGGCATGAAGCGAGTTGTTCTGTTTAAAGGTCACCTGTTATGCTAAATCCACTTCTTCATGTCTCTTCTACATCAACATGTGTCCCCTCTTCTTCATGTCTCTTCTACATCAACATGTGTCCCCTCTTCTTCATGTCTCTTCTACATCAACATGTGTCCCCTCTTCTCCATGTCTCTTCTACATCAACATGTGTCCCCTCTTCT